AGTGGATTCCTTCATTTTTTTTAAATGTTTGTTCATTTTTGAGAGAGAGAGAAACAGAATCTGAAGCAGGCTCCGGGCTCCGGGCCGTCAGCACAGAGCCTGACGCGGGGCTCGAACTCACGAACTGTGAGATCGTGACATGAGCTGAAGAGTAGGGCACTTAACCGACTGAGCCACCAGGAGCCCCTAACACGGGTATTTCTAATATCACTTGAGAAAGAGCGCATTGTCCTATGTCATATGTCACCCCACTTCTCAGCGTAATGCCTGGCCCTGGAGAGGTGCTCTGCGGATTTTTGTTGAACAGATGGATGGGTGTTAAGATCATTCCAATCTCTCTAAAGCGGGCACGTTCAGATTCCCATGGTTTGCCAGCTCTTTCTTCGTAGGGTCTCCCTGCAGTGACGGGCAACGTGGTTGGGAAGTCACACGGCTGGGTCAGGCCCGGTCCAGATCCACCCTGGGTCAGTGTGGAGGAGCGGCAGCCGAGAGGGAAGAGGCGTCATGGGGGAAACAGGCAGAGCGAGGTTTCCGGCACTGACTGTAATGCCTGATGTCTTACTATCGTCTTAAGAGGAGAGTTAAACAAAAGTAAAGCAAACACAAACGCGTAGTTGTAGGTGATCGTTCAGTAACGAGTGGACCTTTTCTTAAAAGGGGGAAAGAATACGAAAGGGACATGGCGGAAGAAACGAACTTTTTCTGGCCAAGATGGAATAAAAGGCCCTCAAGCCTGAAACAACGAAAAAACCAAACAGTATGTGAAACGCTACATTTCAGGACACTGAACAATAGATGATGAAGGGAAGCGAAACCAAGAGGTGGGGAACAGATGGGGTGGGTCTTAGCATCGTCCAGTTTACCGCCTGGAGAGTCTGTAGACTCGGCGGGCGGAGGCGAACGTGGGTGAAGCCGGTGGCAGTCTACCGGATGGAGGACGAGCTGCTGGTCAGGAGGACGAGGCGGCCCCGGTTCACGGAACCGAGGACCAGAGAGGAGCCAACTGCACGAAGGGAGCTGTGGAGAGCTCCAGGGGCTCCGTCCAGTCTTCAGCCGCGTTCTGATTAGCGCCCGTGTATGAGGAAACTACACGAGCTGCAGAGAGAATCCCCCAAAAGGAGACCAGGGAGCAATCTTCAGAGGTTACACGGGGCTGAGAGTACTTCCTGGAGTGGAATTTAAAGCCATTAGACCTAGATCCTGGCTTCGTGGCCGCTTAACACACACGTGTGTCACACACAGCATCACCACTGCCAGCTAGCCAGTGCCCGGGCCCCCGGAGCTGCTGTCGCTTTGCAAGCACCCGCGACGCAGGCTGCCGCCTGGGCGCCTGTGCGTCGGACGTCGGTGCCACCACCGCTACCAGGGTGCTTGCACCCCAGGCCGGGTGCCAAAAGAGATCCCCGTGGACATACCCTGTGGGAGAAAAAGGGATCGGGGGGTCCCCAGCAGCCTTCACCACCAAAGACTCCAAGAGACCTTGAAACTAGAGACCAGCAGCCTTGACTGTTGAGGAATCCTATAGTCTTCGCCGATGCTAACCTTGGCTGATGGAGGCGCACGGAGACCGTGACGCTGGGCCTTTCCTAGAACTGTAGCCGCCACATCCTGTCCACCCACAGGCGGAGGTCTTTTCCCCACCAAAGTCTGGAAAAGATGACTACTTCGTCAAATGCACAGACGTCAACACAAGGCCGCAAGAAACACAAAAAATCAAGGAAACGCGGCATCACCAAAGCAACACAACAGTGATCCGGTAGCCTCGTCCAAAGAAATGGAGATCTATGAATTGCCAAAGAATTTGAAACACTTGTTTTAAGAAAAGTCAGCAAGCCACAAGAGAACACAGATACACAATGAAATCAGGAAAACCACACGTGAGCAAAATGAAAAGGTCGATAGCAATAGAAATCATAAGAAATAATGAAATAGAAATTCCGGAGCTGAAGAATACAGTGGATGCAGTGGAAAGTGCAGTAGAGAGCATCAGTAGCAGACTTGATCAAGCAGAAAAAAGAATGTGTAAACTCAAAGGTCATTTGAAATTACCCAGAGGAGGAGAAATGACAACAACCATGGGAAGCCCATGTGAAGCGAAACAGTGTTTGCGTTATGGGAGTCCCAGAAGGCATAGGGAAAGGGGTGGAAACCTGATTTAAAGAAATAATGGTTGAAGTCTCCCCAAATCTGGGGAGAGATATGGTCATCCAAGTACATGAAGCTTGTTGGTCGCATAGGGTTCAACCCAGTGGGGACTTCACCAAAACGTATTATAATAAAACTGGCAGAAGTTTTATCATAAAAATCATTATAAAAGAGAATTCGAAAGCGGCAAGAGACAGTGATTTCACACAAGGGAACTGCCATGCGGCTATCAATGGATTTATCAGCAGAAACCTCGCAGGTCAGGAGCGAGCTGGATGATATATTCAAAAACTTCCAAACAAGTATATTCTATCCAGCAAAGCTGGATAGTCCTTTCATTTTAGAAATGAAAGAGAAATAAAAGGTATTCTCAGACAAACAAAAGCTGAGGAAGTTCATGAGTTGTCTTAGAAGGAATGCTAAAGGGAGTTCTTCAAGCTGAAATGGAAGGACATTAATTACATATATGACAGTGTAACGTTCACTGGTAAAGGTGAGCATGTAGTCACGTCAGAGTCATATTTTAATGGTGGTGTGTAAGTCGCTTCCCCTGGTATAGAGTTTAAAAGACAAAATTATTAAAAATAACACTACAATAATTTGTTAATGGATACAAAACGTTAAAAGATGTAAACTGTGACATAAAAAACATAAAATGTAGTGGGGGGTAGTGAAAAGGTAGAGTTTTTGTACTGATTGGAGTGAAATTGTTTCAACTTAAAATAGATTGACATTGCTATACATTTGTAAGGAGCTTTTTGTAACCGTGAAGCACAATGCACCAAAGAGTGAAAGAATCAAATCATCCCACAACGGAGAGCCATCAAATCACAAAGGGAACAAAAAAGCAAGCGAGGAAGAAAGAAACACAGAAGTGCAAAAACCAGCCGGGAAGGAAGATGGCAGTGATCAGTCCTTACCTGTTAACAATTACTTTAAATATAAAGGGTTAAATTCTTCTATCGAAAGAGACAGGGTACTGAATGGGTTAAACAACAAACCAAAACAGGCCCGACTGTGTGCCCACAAGAGACTCACCTCAGCGTCAAGGGCACATGTAGGTGGAAAGTGAAGACGTGGGAAAAGATACTCCGTGTAGATGGCAACGGCAAGAGCAGAAGTAGCTACACCGATACAAAAGTCGAAAAACGTTATGAGACAAAGAGGACCGTCATATAAGGACGTGATGAAGGATGGAGATGAACAGCCTATGAACAGAGAGAGGGCGAGGTCTGGAAGGGTCCCAAGGGCAGGAACCTCTGTCCCTGTAGAGTGGAGGCGGCTCACCCTCCTGGTATGTGGACGTGTTTGCCAACCTCGAGGCTCCCCGAACCCTGTACTGTTGGGACGTTATGGAGGCTTCCTCCCATAGGCGTGATGCAATTAGTAATCCATTTCCAGCCCCCGTCCGCTCTCTCGCGGGTAGAGGCAGGTCTGAGAATCCCAAGCTTCTAATCATGGCTTGGTCTTTGTGCGACCGGCCCCCACCCAGGACCCCCCCACCCCCCACCCCCGGGAGTCACATCTTTAGGAAAGATGCTCCCGGTGCTCTGCCACTCAGGAGATTACCAGGGTTTCAGGAGCGCTGTGCTGGGAACCGAGGCAGAGACCAATGTTGATATTAACTCACGTCGACACACCTACTAGAATGGCCGCAGTGAGCAGACTGACCGCACCAGATGTGGGAGAGGACATGGGCGAGCTGGAGCTCTCTGTCCGCCCGGCCGCTGGGGACTCAGGGTGGCACGACACCTTTGGGAAAGCTTAGCAGTCTTGTAAAAAGTGAGGTAGACGCCGCCCCGACAAACCCCGGGCTCCTGCTGCGGCCCGCCTCCGCGTCCAGTGAGCAGGGCACTCTCTTCCTAAGCCGGCAGGGGTTAAGTCAAAGAAAACACGTTTGCCAGACTTTATAAGAGTTTATCTGAAATTGGTGCCATCATGTAAAAATCCGACGTCCAGTGAAATGGGCTCTCTCCCCCATGGTTAAAAAGGTAACCAAAAAAGCTGTTTTTGCTTTCTCACTCGAGTCTTTGCATTTTGGGGGAAAAAGGTTACGTTTTTTAATATATATATTTGTGTTCTCCAGAGGTCTTTTTGTTGAGTTTCTACCTAGTACGTTAATATCTTTAAATGGTTTTTGAAGTTAATGAATGTGTGTGATTTCTTTCACTAAAAACCCCCACGTGTACAAAAACTGTGTGTGTCCTGTAGGACCCTGGGAAGCTGATTGAAATCAAATGCCTGGAGTATGAATTAGAAGCTTTAGGACTCGAAAGTAAAGTTAAAGTCTACGTCCGAGCAGCTGTTGAGGTAAGTCCTTGGACGGGAGTCGGCGTCACTGAGCGGCTTTGCACGTGTCCTGGAAGGTCGCTGGCCCCCCGGGTGAGGGGGACACAAGGCCAGCCTCCCGTGCCTCGGGTTCCCACCGGTGAACACGGCCTCCCCGGCAGGAGCCCCGCCAGGACGGGCTCCCCCACGGCTCCCGGGCCATCACGTAGCAGGCATATCAGGGTCACGCAGCCTGGGCAGGGGGCGGGGCACGGGGATGAGCTCCCGAGAGCCCTCCTGCTGCCCGAGTGGCGGTGCCCGTCCCCGTAGCCCCATGCGCTTGCCCTTGGTCAGGCCTTCGCGTCCCTGTCATGGCTCTTTGCCATCCAGACTCCCGTCCAGGAAGGCAAAAGTCACTCCCTACCACAGCGTGGGGCTATCAGCCACGCGGGGCCTGGAAACCCGAGGGGCTCGGGGTAGGCGGTAAGGTCGTTGCACGCAACGGGGGCAGGCAGGGATCTGGGGGTGGGGAGACGAGGGTGGCCAGAGGCTGTTGGGGATTCGGGGATCCCCAAGCGCGTGGGGAGAGGCAGGGGCCCCGGGAAGGGTGGATCCAGGGGCCGCCCAGGCGGGCGCGGTGCTCACTCACGGTGACGGCCCCATCTGGAAACGGCGGACGTGGCTGCTGTGCTCCCCGTCTGCGGTCAGAGAGGAGGCGGCTGCCCAAACGCGGTGGTGACGTGAGCTTGGTTTCACTCTCCCGTCTGCTTACTCAACGCGGTGGGATTTGGACCAGCAGCCACTGCCAGAAAAGGAGTCCAGAGATCGTTTTAGACCATTCTTTAATGAGAAATTTGCAGCTTAAAAGGAGGAAAAAAGTGTCAAAACAGAGATTTGGAGCCTCGTGTCGACTGGAGCCAATGCGGGCACTCGTGGGCTTGGCTCCTGGCACCCCCAGGGAGCCTTCGGGCCGAGAGATCGGCGGCCGGGCGCGGGGCCCCGTCCCCCACACCCGCAGCAGGCTCTGTGTGGCGCCTTCATTGCGGCCCGGCGGATATCCGTCCCTCTCGGACTTGCCCGTGTGGCTCCTCTAGCGTTGACCCTCCTGTCTGGCACCTGGTAGGCGCTTGACAAACGCTGTGTAGGAGACGCTTTGCAGGGAACACTTTGGCCCCACGTGTGATCAGGAGATAGCAGCAGACGGGCGGTGCGTGTGGCCCTGGGGGCCGCAGGGAGTGCTGTGTGGAGCACAGAGCAGCTTCGGGCACCGGTTCATGAGGCAGCGTGAGGGGAGGCCCCGAGGGTGCTGGCAGCCAGAAGCGTGGGACGTGGCCGAGTTTAGGACCCGTGGGCAGGCCCCGTGGGCTCTGAGGAGGCGTGGGGCTGGGAAGCCGGTTCCACGCATCTGAAAACGTGGGACCAGAGCCTGTCTGGCGGGAAGGGCACATGCAGCACGGAACAGGGGACGTGTTCTTTGGGTTGTAAACGTAACAGGCCGTGGGCCACAGGGAATGTACAAGGCTGAGTAGTGCACTTGGATGGAATCAATTCACGGAAGAGAACCTCATCCACGGGTGTGCAGAGGCCATTCCGGGCTTTTTAAGGGAGCATCTCGCAGACATTCTTACATCCCTTCTAGAAAAGAGGATGCAGGCTGTTGCCACAGACAGGCTCAGACCTCGGGTCCCGGCTGGCCCTCCAGCTTCCGGGCCTCGGGACCAGGCTCCCCACGCGGTACGTGGTGCTTCACGGACCGGTCGATGTGTTTTGTGCAGGCCCAGCTGAATATAGTACGGAGACTGGACATCACACTGCAGCGAGCCGTGCGCCTGGGCGACCCCGGGGTCATCCACGTGGTGTGCACCACCCAGTGGAACGCGTGTCTCCCTTTGCTGCAGCACAACCTGAGACACCACCTGCGGAAGCCGCTGGCCAACGTCGCGGACGTCCTGGAGAAGGTGGACAGGTGGCCTGCGTGTCTTCGTCCCGGGCTGTCCTCTCAGAGACGGAGAAGCGTGGCGGGAGGGGGCCGGGGCAGAATCCCTCAACACCGGGAAAAAGATGAAACCCAACTGACTTCCCCCAAAAAGCGTGCAAGCGGGAAACCCCACCCATATCAGAAAGGGCTTGTGTGGCTGCCGCAGGGATGGAGCCATCCGTGTGCCCCGCGCGGGCCTCGGCGGTCCCCCACCGCCCGCTAACGGAGAGCGGGCGCCCGCCTGGGTCCCGGCACCGAGGGTCCCCTAGCCTGCAGGCACACCTACATCTCCACTCTGCTTTCAGTAGGCCAGCCGTGGGAAGTGCTGAGAAGGCAGGAGCAGGGAGGGAGGGCGGGTGGGTGCTGTTTAGGCAGGACGGTCCCAGTCGGTCTCCGAGAAACCGAGCCCAGAGAGAGGAGACGGCCCGGGGGCCGGGAGGATGACGCCCCAGGAGCAGAGCCCTCCATACACATAGAAGGGGGGCTCATCAGTCCTCCAGGGGCGGAGGTTGTGCCGGGGGACAGCGTCATCAGAGGACCCGGCACAGAGGAGGTATCGCCAGTTGTCAAATGGCCACCCCGCTGTCGAGAACAGCCTGTGGACAGGGCGGGCGCCGGGTGGCACGGAAGCCGCCGTGAGCCGGGAGAGACGGAGCTGTGGGAGGTGGGCAGCAGGCCCGCGGCCCCTTGCAGACACCCCAGTCTTGTGCGTCCAGAGCTCACAGGGGTCTCTGGGAAGGTCACCTGGGCTGTGGACAGGGCGTAAACCCAAGGTGGCACCCGTTTGAGAGCAGGAGGGCAGAGCGGGCCTTGAAATGCCTAAAGAGACAGGCCGGGCCACGGGAGGAGGACGCAGTCCCGGCCAGTGGTCCCTGGGCTGCTGCGGGGCGGGGGCGACCCTAGGCGGGCACGGGCGCAGGTGCAGGCGGCAGGGGGCGGGGCGGCTGGGAAGCACACGTGCCACATTCCCAGCGTCCTCGTTTTCCATCTGTTCTTTCATTTCACAGATTCTCTAATTCTGCCTTCTCTTTGGCCTGCTTTTAATTTTAATGAGTATGTTTCTTATTTCCTATTAGCTTTTTTTCATGTTTGCCTGAGTTTAGAAAATATCTGGTAGTTTCCCCCTTTTTCTCTGCTGATTCTCCTAAGTGACAGTGAGACCCCGCTGCCCCCAGTAGGACGCACGCGTGGGGGCATCCGCGTTGGCAACAGGCCCTTTAGCCCCGGATGGTGTTTCTTCTGCGGCTGTGAAGACGGTCATGTGCCTTTTCTCTCCCGTTCTTACCGCCTGAATCACGCTGATTGAGTTTTGGGGGTTGAACCAACCGTGCACGCTCTGTGCGGTCCCGATCTTTTCACTCTTTACTGTATTGCCACGTTCGGCTTCCTTCCCGTGATCTGTTGGAGGGTCTTATGCATATGTTCATGAGGACATGGGCCTGTGTTTTCCTTCCTTTGTCAGGGTTGACGTCAAGGTCACGCTGGCTTTGTAAAATGAATCGGGAAGCTAGGAAGTATTCTTTCTCCTTAGAAGGTTCTGGGCCTGGGGGCTGTGCCGAGTGGCTGCTTCTGGAGGAGGGTTCCAGGCTGCCGCACTCCCCGTGGCGGGTCAACGCCGAGGAGTCCTGGTGGCAGCTGATGGCATTGTCTATCCTTGTTGAGGGGCTCTTGGCAGCTCCTGTCAGTGTCCCCTCGGGCTGACCCCGAGGCCAGAGTTCCCCTGGGTGCAGAGTGCTCAGCCCAGCGAGTGCCGGCCGGAGTGCGGGCCTCCGGCTCCGAGCCGCCTGGCCTCTGGCACCCCGTGTCTCCCTCAGCTTTGCTCGGCGTGGTCCCAAACACCGTGTCCCGCACGTTTGGGGTCGTGTCTCCTCGTGGCCTCTTAGCCGCCGGTGACCCCCCTGCCTCGAAGGCTCCGGCGTGTGGTGGTAACACCACCTCCCCGGATGCATGGCCTCTCCTTTTCCATCCTCTTAAATCCTGTCCTCTGTGTACCTCGAACGCGCGGAGCACGGCCTGGCAGTGTCGGGTGGACCGCCGTCTGTCCGCCTTCCGTCGCTGTGACCCTCTGCGTGGGGCCTGGAGCCCCGCACCCTCTGCGCACCGTGTCCTGCTAAGCTGGTCTTCGACCTCACGTCTTTCCACTCATCCTTTCTGCTTCCTGCGGCTCCTGCCCTGCCTTCCTCGAGGTTAACTTTTAGAATCCTGTCCACTTCCTCGGCTGTACTTTGCGGGGGGGGGGGGGGGGGGGGGGGGGGCGCCGCTCGAGGGCCAAAAGTACGGGTCCTTGGGCAGCAGAGTCCGTGAGGGCCAGCTGCGCACCTGACCCCGCGCCCCGCAGGCAGGGCCCCCGCAGCCCTTCTCCTCCCTCAGCCTCAGCCCGCTCCCTGCCTCCGTGCCGTCGTGGCCGTGGGCTCCCCTCGATGTGGTGTGACGTCTGCCACGTGAAGATGCGTCCGCTTCACCTTGCAGTGCTGTCGTCTGGTCTTGGCGGCCAGTGGTCTTCTTCAACAAGGAGAACGTCCCCAGAGGGCAACGAGGGTTTCTCGGCTTTGCCTCCCTCTTGGCCGGTCCCGCTGGGTCTCCCCTTCCCACACACCCAAGCTCCCACCTGCTTGATCTCAGCCCTAAGAGCTTCTGCCGTGTTGACCCGAAATGGCTTCACCTCATCCCCACGAGTGCTTTCACCGGTCACCGGATTCTGGGTTCGGGGACAGTGTTCCTCTTCAGACACTTTGAAGACGATGTGCTGCTTCTGGCCGTCACCATTCCTGAGGAAGACGTGCGCGGTTTTCAGCGTCGTTCTGTGTGCCGTGAGTCTTTCTGCTTCTTCTGTTTTCAGAATTTTGGTCGTGGGATTCCTCAGAGCCTTAAAGAACCCTCCTCGGGTTGGCTGCGATGCCCGGATATGTGACAGGACGTCTCAGGTTTGCGGAGTCATTGGCTGTGACTTCGTCCTTCTCGCTCTCCGCCTCCTGGGACCTGGGTTTCGAGTGCACCCTCAATACTGCCCACAGGTCCCCAAGTCTCCGCTCGTTTTTACATCTTGTTCAGTCTGTGCCTCTGGTGGCTGATTTCCTTCCGCCGTCTCCTGTGTGCCGTGAGCCCCGAGCAGGAGTTTTGCCCTCACGTAGTCTAGTTCCGAGCTCAGGTACCTCCCGTGTCTGCATTTCTCCACCTCCCCTGAGATTCAGTATCTGTTCTGTCCTGAGTATTGTTTTCCTTCAGGTTTTTGATATATTTGTACTTGTATTTTAATACGTGCATTAGTGGATTTATCCGGTAAACTCAACATGTGGTCCTTCCTGTATCCTGACTGTGGGTCACATTTTTCTCGTCCTTGCTCGCCTGGTATGCACCGAACAGTGTGGGTGATATGCTGCAGGGTGCTAGGCTCTGTTGTCCCGTCTGGGGAAGTTGGTTTTTGTTGGAAAGGCGTTGAGCTAACCACGTCTGGTGACGAACAGCCTCCTGGTCGTCCGGTCTCTGGTGCCACAGAGCCCCTTCTTCCGGCCAGCCTAGGACTCCAGCCACCCAGGCTGTGCTCTGATGTCGCCTCCTTGGCATGGCGGCTCCGCGCTCTGTCCCCCGGGGGGCCGACAATCACGGGCTCGCGCCTGACGCCCCCCAGGGGCCGCGGTCTCACTCCGCCGGAGCCCCGTGCCGGCCACCCCGCATATGTGGCCCTGCTTTGTGGTTGCTGCGTGTCGCAGAGTCACTTACCACCATCGGAGGATTGCTCACTTCTAAGTCCTTTTCGCCTGGTTCCGTTCCTCCCGTTCTGGCAGCTATGTGCCCTCATTCGAGTCACGGCCTCTTCAAGCGAGCCGTCTGCCAGGTCGTTCCCAGAGTGGGCTGACCCTCCGTGTGGCCCCCTCTGCTGTGTGTGGCATTGGCTGGCCTCGGCCAGCTCCTAAGTTGTCCTCTGTAGCCACCGCAGGACCATGGCCCTGGCTGCCGCCCGGGCTTGTAGAGAGTCTGTGGGTGAACCTGGTTCCCCGTGAGGAGCGTGGGCCCTCTCCCGGCACTAACCAGGGCCACGGGGACTCCCTGCCTCCTCGTCCCTGAGGTCATAGGCAGGCCACGTGGCATTTACGCCTCCATCTGTGCTCAGTTCGTGGGTCCTGTGGAACTTGCGTTCGGCCAAATTTGTTGGATTTGCTAATGCTGGCATCCCAGGGCATGACCCCGTGACGTGGGCTCTCTGCCTCCCGTTGATGGAAAGGCTGTGAGGACCCTTCGCTGATACCCGTAGACACTGGCAGAGGTAGGGTGAGGGCCCATGGGGCATGGTGGCTGTTCTGAGCGTGGGCGGTGCCCCAGCTGCTAAGACCCGAGCAGGGCTGCCTTCGGAGGGGCAAAGAGCAGGCTTCTGGCCGCACGCTGCAGGGGGGCGCGGGCTGCAGGAAGCAGTGGGCATGGGGGGGAGTGTGGGCGGTACCTGTGGACGGACCAGGTGGCTGCAGCATCCCAAGCTTCCCAAGCCGGCCCTGTGCGCCACCCGGCAGGCCTCACTGGCGTGTCCCAGGTCTGCCAGCTTGCTGCTCCTGGGCCTCGGAGCGCGGGCCCCAGCCACTCTGGCTTCCGCAGGGCCCTCGCTGCTTGTCCCCCCGTCTGAGTCCTCCAGGCAGGCCGGGCAGGGCCTAAAGGATGCAGGAAAGCCAGGAGCAGCCGGAGGCTCACTGCACATCTCCCCCTGGGGCGTCTACTGGGAAGCCAGTGCTCCCGGGGCCCGCGTGACGCTGTGCTGTCCCAGCCAGGGTGCCCCGGGCCCGCCTGACGCTGTGCTATCCCCCTGCCCCCCCAGCCTCATGGTCCTGCTCCGCTGCCAGGTGCACATGGAAATGGTGCACATCGAGGAGGACGAGGACCGGCTGGAGCCGGCCATGCGGCACCTGCAGAAGGCCATGCGTCTGGACAGCCTGGGCCTCTACCAGGACCAGCTCAGGATGGCCTTCAACCGGCTGTATCTGTGCACCAGGCTGTACCAGTCCCCTGAGCGTGCCGAGGACAAGGCCGTCGTGGCCATCGAGCAGGTGCTGTCATCACGGCCTTTGTGGGGTTGGCCGGGGGGCTGGGGCCCTGCAAGAGCCCACGTGCCTCCTTGGAACAGCCCGGAGACAGTGTCGCTTCTGGCGACGTGAGAGCCCACTCTTCCTTCCTGCTGCAGGCCAAGAAAGCTATCCCAAAAGACAGCGTCAGGAAGAAGCGGGCTCTCCTAGTGAACGCGGGCCTGGCCCTGGCCCCCGACACCTTCCAGATTGTGCTCGACAGCGAGAACGAGGCCAAAGGTAGGCTGGCTTTCTCTTCCAGAGCCCAGGGGCCACCTGAGCCTCACGCCGTCTTGAGGCAGACGCTCAGCCTGGCGTGTGGGGGCCACGCCGTGCCGGCCGAAGGTCCGAACCTTGAGGTGTGCGATCTGGGCCTTTGAAAGCACCAGTCTGGAGGGGGCATGGCTGCAGCCCCCCTGTGTCTTGCAGGTGGCAGTGTCCTCCGTGCCTTCACCTCGTCCCCCTGGAGACACAAATGAGGCCACATTCTGAGGTTCTGGGGGTTAGGGTTCATCATACCTTTTGGGGGGGCCCAGTTCTGCCCACTGACCCGCCAAGCACATCACATTCTTGAGGACGGCGGCCGGGTGCCCGGCTGGGGGGCCCCACCGAAGGCCGCCCCGAGGCTCCCCCGGCTGTCATGCCCCAGCGGTGGGGAGAAGACGGCTCTGGGACGTGGCCCTCTGTGGCCATGGGGCTCATTGGGTGTGGCCGCCCTGGCTTTCCACCGTGCCCTGCAAGTGTTGGCAGAGTCCTGAGGTGCTCCGATGGGTAAGAGCATTGCTGGCGGGCCGGGAGCCCAGCCGGAGAAGGCACCCCGGCCCTGCAGGGTGAGGGGCCCCGGGGGCGGGGGGCTGGCTCCTGGAGGTGGCTGGAGTGTTGGCTGAGAGGGGCACGGCATGTGCCACACGCTCTGTGCAACTGTGCCGGGCAGCCCCGCGCTCGGGGAAGCCAGGCTCTCCTTGGCTTGCGCTTCGTTTATCAAAGGGAGCCCCCGCCACCCAGCAGACCAGAGGGCCAGGCCGCGGGAGGGAGCGGGGGTGTCGGGCAGGGGCCGGTGTGAGGGAGCGCCCTCCGGAGGGGCACCAGCTCACGCCTGTCCAGAGCGCAGAGCCCCCGGGCTGCTGCGTGTGGGGGCGGCGCCCCCCTGGCACCAGGGTCCCCGGGACGGAGGTGCGGCCCCTCCCAGTCCTGGGCCCTGGGACACCGGACGCCAGCCTTGCCCTTGCATTTCCGCCCGCAGTGTCTACAGGGAAGACCAGGGGCCGGTTCAGCTTCCTGTTCGCGAAGGCACGGCACCACATCATCAGCGTGGACAAGGCCGCCGGGCACTTGTGGCGTCTGGGGGGCGAGAACGCCAGGGAGCGGTGGGTGAGGTGGTGCCCCCGGCCGGGCTAGCGGGACACCCGCCCCAGCAGGGAGGGGCGTGGGCACCCCCCACGGGGCGAGAAGGGCCGTGCTCGCGGCCCCCGCGGTGGTGCCGGGTGGCCTGTCATGAGCGACACACGCGTGCGCTCTTGTCGCTTGGCTCCTCGGCGAGCAGAATACAGATCTGGGCCGAGCTCGCCAAAGTCGCCCGGAAGCAGGGGGTGTGGGACGTTTGCCGGACAGCGTGCCGCTTCTGCCTCCTGTACGACAACGTCAAGGCAAAGAAGCCAGCACGGCTGAAGAGAGGTACGAGGGCCCCCACACGCGCGCCCAGGCGCCAGCCAGGGTCGCATGTTCTCCGAAGCCCGGAGCCAGACCGTGTGGCCGCCCCTGGGCAGGGGCCGGCAGCCCCGATGACCAGTGGGGTGGCTCCTGCCGGGGGCCGGGTCAGTGTGCACATGCTGGAAGCAGGGGTCCTGCGATGGAAGGGACTCCCGAGCGTCACCGTGACACGCCGGACCCTGTGCAGCCGGGCCACTGTGCCTTTGCTCTTTGGTCCCTCAGGGTCATCGGGGCTCCAAAAGGGAAGGCACCTGCTGTGAGCAAGAGAACAGAGGCCGCCGTGTCGGGCGCCTGGGGGCAGAGGGCAGAGGGCAGAGGGCAGAGGTGACAGTGAACGGGGGGGAGGGGGGCTGAGGTGGGTGGGGTTTTCTCGGGAGTGTGGGTGGAGGACGGCTCCCCACATCAGCACAGATTCTGGGGCTGATGGGTCAGTGGGCAGGTCCGGTGGACGGTCAGGGCACAGGCATGTACCAGGGGTCTGAGGAGACCCAGGGCAGGGTTGCTGCAGGCTTGGTGGGGCCGGGTGCTTCTCAAGGGGCACAAGCAAAACCAAGAATGTGTTGTCGGGGACGTCAGTGGCAAGTGAGCTGCGGCTGAGCCGGCTTTGGGGACACGTTAGCCACCCGCCCAGGGAGCCCTGCACCCCGGGGGTGGGGGGGCCTTTCCTCCGGCCCCTTCTAGCAAAGACGCACCTCCCAGAGACCCCTGTCTGCCCCCGGAGCTGGGGGTGAGCCAGGAATCCTTGAGACGTTTTTGTTTCTTTGCTGCAAAAGAAGCACCACGTCTGACCAAGGCTGAGGCTCCGCTCTTTACCCCAGGAAAGAAGAAGAGGGGCAGAGACAGCACGGCCCAGGACGGCGGGGGCCACTCAGAAGTGACGTCGCAGCGGCAGGCGTCCCCGAGCCTGCTGCGCAAGTTCGCCGAAGTGGGGTTCATCAACGCAGAGGTGCGTCGCTGGTGGGTCGGCGTGGGCGCCTGTGCTTTGTGGAACACTGTCCCTGAAGACCTGCCCCCTGAAGGGACGGGTGCCGAGTAGGGGCGCCTTCCTGGTGCGCGAGGGCCCCGTGATTACGTGTCCCCTTTCCTTAGAGATAGTTTCTGCATCGGGAGCCTACAGTCACGTGGGGACTACGCAGTGACCTGCTGTTTTGGGGGGTTGCATCGGAGTGGACGTCAGAAGCACTTTGAGCAAGTTGTAGCGGGGAGAGGTGTGCCATCAGGGCCACAGCACCTGCACCTCCGCCCACGGGGGCCAGGCTCCACGGCACTGCGTAACCAAAATCCTTGGAGCCACGTTAGGTCGTTTCTCCTGGGGTCTGGGCAGCCGGGCCAGAGCGCTCTCTGAATTACTCGGGGACCGTCTGCTAAGTGCCTCCCAAATGCCGGGCCGATGCCGTGAGCTGGGGACGCAGTGACGACTGGGGCACAGCCAGTGGTGGCAGGGCCACCTGCCCGGCCGTGCCAGTGCTCTCGGCAGCCTTCAGTGCCCCTGCACACTCGTGAGGTGACCGGGGGCAGACGCGGCCGGGCGCTGGCTAACGTTGAGAAGTGACTGTGTCCGAGGAATGGCGTGACTTGTGTGGGGCTCGTAGAAGGAGCCGTCTCTTCCCAGGACACGGTATTTGTGGGTGAGGTGGAGGGAGGACCCTTGAGGCTGAGAGGACCACGGGGCATCACGGGGTCTGCCCACCCTGTGCCTGGCCGCGTGTTCCCGCCTGGCTCTGCGTCTGTGCCCTGTGACTCTGCCGCCCCTCGCTTCCTTCGCAGGCCACCGTCCACCTGCTGCGCTCAGAGGGCGTGCAGCTCAATGACCACCCCACCCCCCCGGAGGACCCGAGCCAGCACTCGGCCGGCTACACGCTCGAGTGCCCCGAGGACAACACACAGTGGGTCGTGTACCGGTAGGTGGCCCGGAGGGGCCCCGGCGTCCCCGGCAGCTGCCAGCACGGCTCAGCCACGGAGCGGGCCGGGTGGCCCAGGGAGGCTGCGCCCACACCAGGGGCGTGGCTGGTGTCATGCGTGGCCGGCGTGGCAGGATGGTTTGTCTAGTGTGTTTTAGTAGAATCCACACTTTGGCTCCTTCCAGTTAGCGTATTTTGTTATTAGTAAAAAGGGGATACGATGGGTTGGTGTAAGCACTGGGGTGTGGAAGGGGAGCGGCTTTCCATGCGCTCAGAGGACGAGCTGTGGTCTGGGCCTCGGTCACGAGTGTGGGTGAGCAGAGCGCTTCACGTAGAACATCCCAGAAGACACAGCACGTGAAATGCCACGACAGAAACGCTCGTGAATTTGAGATGCTCTGTTAACAGTGATACCAGGGTCTCAGTTGTCTTTGATCTAAAACTAAGTATTTTTAAGAGAGAGGGTGGTAGTGTGTGAATATCGGCCCCATGCCGCAGGAGCCGCACACCGTCTAACTGCCCACCCGCTAACTGGAGGGGCGAGCCTCTGTCACTGGCGAACAGGCTCCCGTGGAGGCAGCGGGCAGGCGCAGCGTGGGGACACGGCCCGGCCCCTGCGGGCGGGTCGAGGGGACGCAGTGGGTCGCGGCAGGCAGTCCAGGCCGGGGGCAGGCTCCGCAGACCAGCGGGCCACGGGCAGACCGTATGTTCGGGTCCCTAATGCCCGTTCGGGAAAGGTCTTGTTTCGAAGGAAGAGCTTGACGGGGTGCGTCCTGCAGGACCTGGATTGAGAGTCTGTCACAGGGCGCCATGGACAGCTGGCTGCGGTGCGCCGAGATCGGGCGAGAGATCCAGGAAGGCTGGATCGTGCAGAACGCGGTGGTCTACGTCCTCAACCACAACCGCCACCTCATCGTGGCCGGGAGGCAGAGGGAGCTCGTGGGCGCCTTGGACCACCTCCTGAGCATCGTCAAGGCCACGGGCCACGACGGGTAGGTGTGGCTGGCGGGTCCCGCGTGTGGTCCTGACCCCCGGGGAAGGCTCCGTCCTGCCGCTCCGACAGACCTTGATTCAGGCCCGGGGACTGTGGGGTCACACACGGGTCCGCCGGTGGGGGTGGTGCCCCGGGACCCTCCCCGCCGTCGTCAGTGCCATCCTTCCGGGAAAGGCGGGTCTGCCGTTGGCTGGTGTCTGACAGTGATTGGGACATGGGGACGTGGGGACAGGGGGAAGGCGGTGGGGGCACGGGGAGGGCTGCTCAAGCATCCCAGGCTCCGTTCACTAGCCGTGCACCCCAGGCCAGATGCTCACCCTCTCTGAGCCGCAGGGCGGCCCATAGTGGTGGAGGAAGGCCTCGGGCCCACCCGGCAAGGAGCCCCCCACCCTCACTGTGTCTCAGCACGGAGCCGGCCTGCCCCACTGTGTTCCAAACAGAATGATTCTAAGGAAGGTTTGCTGAGACCCGAATCAGCTGGGAAAAATGGAAGCAAAGAGCGACTCCTTTGTATGAATCTCATCTGGTTTCATGGAAGGTTGCAAACGTGCGTCTGTGTTTTCTTACGTAGACGGATGGGAGCCCGGGAGATTGCTGTTTTCGTGAGCTAAAATCAGAAATTTAAAAGCAAGACAGACCACAGTGTCACCCGACAAGGGTGACATTTAAAGACTCTCCTTGTGTGTTTGTTGCTGGTTTGGTTTTTAGTCTGAACGATAAGCTTTAGGTTTTCTCATCAGATACTGAAGTAGATGTGCCAGACGGGGTGGGAACCAGCAGGCTGCGTGTCGGTTTTCATCAGGGACGATTAATAATGAACACGGAGCCCGAGCTAGAGAGCCCCTCGCTGGGCAGTGAGCAGGCCCTGTGGATGCCCCTCTGATGCGAGCGCCCCAGCGGGGCTCCGCAGACGCCAGCCTCTCCCCTCCCAGCACTGCCGTGAGTTTCCATCACAGGTGGAGCTCAGACTTTGAGTCCCTGGTTCTGGACGTGCGGAGACCGTTTGCAGCAGTTTTCAACGTTTTGGTGCCATAACGTTGCCAGTGAGAAACGTGGGCGTTCTGGCCGAGGCCCATTTGATCTGTTAACCAACCGGTAGAAGTGCCCGGGCCACGACTGAGGCCTGACGGACGCCCGGCAGCGGGCACGGAGGCCAGATGGGCCTCTCTGTCCCGCCCCGACGATGCCCCGAGGAGCCCGCCCGCCTGGCACGGCGGCGCCCTCTCGCCAGGAAGGCCACCTGTGGCGGGGGAGCCAGGCGTCACCGGAGCGGCCCTCGTCACAGCCAGCTTCCCCTAGGAGGCCTTGGAACAGCTCGGCAAACTGGCGCCGGGACCACGGGCGCCTGTGGTTGGTCCCGGCAAGATGGGAGCCCGGCAAACGCACTTTGTCACGGACTCGTCTGCTTGAGTCTGTGCGTGCGACTGTGTTCTCACCTGCCGGCATGCTCTTTCCAGAGACTTCACTCTGCTGGGGATGCTCTGCAACACTTTGGCTCGAGGCTTGATTATCAACTGGATTCCGACCCAAGTGCCGGAAAAATCTAGAAGACCCATGCGCCCAAACCTGTTTCACACACCACTGGACTCAGAAGCCAGCGCTGAAGTCAGGACCGCGGTGGAGGTAGAGCCCTCGCTGCGCGAGGCCAGGGGGGACCCTCACTCCACTAGCGCAGGTGACGGGTGGCCATTAGGAGGTGAAACTGGCTAGGGTTTTCTACTGCCAGGAAATGGGGTGCAGGGCAAGGAGGGGCAGAGAACATGCATTTCTGTAAGAGGAAGACAGAGAGCCGGGTGTTGTCAGGGAGGGGAGGCGGCGGAGCCGGGCAGGTGGCAGGGCCAGCCAGGGGCCCCCCCAGGGGCGCGTGGGGGCCAGGCCGCCCAGCTGCAGGCCTGGTGCCTGTTTAAACCCCCGCCGGTCTGACCACGAGCCAGGTCCACTTACTTTTACTAGTTTGAGTCTTGGCTCGGGCTCCCTGTTCAGAGTTCAGGCTCTAGAACAAGGCCCCATCTGTGTTAGGTTTGTGAGTTCGCCCTGAACCTGAGCACCGGGACGGAGCCCGAGGAGGTGGTGCCCGTGAGCACCCAGCAGCAGCTCCTTGCCACCTGGGTGAAGGCCCGGCAGCTGCTACAGCAGCAGATCGGGCCGCGGCTGGGCGCGGACGAGCAGGTGCCAGGGGCCTGGGGCGCGGGTGGCGTCTGGGAGCTCCCCGGGGCTCGGAGGGCTCGGCGGGCCGGGGCCTCCAGGGCGGACACCTCCTGCTGAGGTCTTCCCTGGTCTCCCGCCTGAAGGGGGACAAGCAGGGACCCAGAGAGGAGAGCTCCCACAGACGTGGGCTCTGAGGTCATGGGCAGGCCCTGCCCCACCCCCTGGCCAGCCCAGCCAGCAGACCTGCTGCCTCGACACTGCCTGGAAAGGGACCTTGGAGAGAAACCGGCATACCAATGGCTCTGGCTGTCGCCGCGATGCCGGCGTGTCCCAGGGCTCCGGGCCCCAGCGTCCCGGCACCCCCGGGCTGACGGGCGCTTACGCTTCCTTCCCCCAGAGTCCCAACGAGGACATCAACTCGGTGACCAGAGTTCTCGTTGCTCTGGAGATGTACTCCTGCAACGGGCTGGGCCTCATGGACTTCTCCGTGCCCCCCTTGGCCCAGGTAGGCGCCACCAGTGCCCAGAGCCCCCAGCCTGAGGCCACTCGTTTGGGTCAGCTGCTCAGACTCAGAGCCGGGGTCAGAGGGCCTTGCCTGAGGCGGCAGACTGGGTGCCCTGTCGAGGGACCCCGTCCTCACCACGGCGCTCACCTGCCCCTCGCAGGGTGCCCGAGCCATTCCACGTGGGAACCACCCGTGCGCTTCCTCTGCAGTCGGCTCGGGGCGGGGACCCCGGGGGTGGCACGTCAGCCGCGCTAACAGACGCCCCTTCTCCCCTGCCCGGAAGGTGGTGGAAATGGCTTCCGAGTGCAACTGGTCGGACCCCCTGGTGGAGCTGCAGACCCTGACACGACTGACCCACTTTGCCCACATGGCCCACGACCACGAGGTCGCCATGGCCTGCTCGCAGAAGGCCATCCAGATGGGCATCAGGCTCCTGAGGATGTTTAGCCAGTAAGTAGCTGTGGACCGATCCCCCTGAGGCCAGGAGGGGTCACCGGGCCCGAGCACCAGCCCCGGCTCATCCCAGCACGTGTCCCGGTAGCCGTGTCCGTGTGTCCGTGCGCCTCTGCCTGCCAGCTCCTCGTCAGCCAGCACGACGCCGTCAGCCACGGCTCCAGAGAGCCGGGTTCAGAAGGGTTCTGAGGCCACACGAGGCCCACTGGCCGTGAGCGTGACGGTCACGGGCACAGAGGCAGAAAGGGGCTCCCGGGTCACCATCTGCCATCCCCGACAGACAGAGCTTTGATGAACATAGTTCTGAGTGGGCAACACAGACGTGCCACATAAATTCAGAAGTCACCGAGGAGGTGTCCCAGTGACAAGAAAACCCCCCCGGCCCTTGTCGCCCTGCCCGCTGCGGGCCGCTCGCTCTCCGGAGGCCATGGCTGCCAGATGTCGCGGCACGAGCTCCCGGACCCCTGTCCCCGTGCGGCGCTGGACGCCCGCTTTCCCTCACAGCTTCCGGCGGCTCTCGCGTTCCGACCTCCGATCGGGAATTGTGTTTCTGCGTCTTTCCCCTCGTTGTGAGTGTCAGGCTGTTTTAATTTGTTTCTACTGTGAGTTTTTTCTGTGGTGACGACCGTTTTCCTTGAGGGTCTTGTGGGTTATTTCCTGGAAACCACGAAATCACCGACTCGAGGGTATGAAGAAGACGTTCGTTAGTGACTCAGCAGCCAGGGTGGGCGGGCCAGACCCAGGTGTGCCGAATTGCCACGTGAGGCCAACCTCGGGCCGTGTCCGCGTCTCGGGCTGCCCGCTGTGGCAGCGTGATTGGCAGCGTGGGGGGGGG